CTGGTTAGGTGTTTCTGCACCTACAATTATTACAAACAATAAACACACAATTTTAGATATTAAGATAAAGAGGTGCAAATGACATCATCAAAACCATCAAATCATCATGATGATTCAATAAACTATGTAAAACTATGTACATATATTCATTATTGACATATTCTCTGTATATTGGCCATGTATGGATAGTATGATGTACAGCTGATTCAATTTTGATTCATAATTTGACTATAAAACTAGCAGCCTGTCGGCTGATATAGCTCCACTGTTTGTGATGCATGCTCTGAAAGCAATGACTAAGAAGCAATTTAAAATTAATGCTAGCTGCATTAATATTGCAACACACCAACTTTCTTGATTTTGTTGCAGAGAATATTTCACTAAAAGTAGAGAATTGAAGATACCTTTACGAAATGGACAAATCTAATTGAGGTCTACCCAAGCTGCATGTGTACAAGTATCAAAGAATTTGGACTACTGGTTTTGAAGGACAAGTCAAAATATGTTTTTTGATGAAAAATGACGAAAATATTTGCTAAAAATAGAGAATTGAAGATGTTGACAGGAAGTGAACAAATATAGGTCCACCCAGGGAACATATACACCAAGAATCATAGCATTCAAGTTAACAATTTTAAAGAAGTTGAAAACATCATTTTTGAGCCAAAAATGACAAACCTATTCGCTTAAAAGAGAGAATTCAAGATATGGTTACGAAATGAACAAATCTGATAGAGGTCCAGCCAAGGTACCTACAAATAAATTCACAAAGCAATCAGGTTAGAAGTTTTCAACAAGAAGTTGACCAAAAATTACAAAAATATTCATCAAAATTAGAGAATTGAAGATATTGTCACGAAATCAACAAATCTGACAGAGGTCCACCTGATATACCTACATATACAAGCAGTTTTCAAGTAGAAGTCGAAAATAGCATTTTTGACCAAAAATGACACAAATATTCGCTAAAAATAAGACAATTGAACATATCCACACGAAATGAACAAATCTGAGAGAGAACCACCCAAGGTACCTTCCTAGTTTCACAGCTATACAGTTTGTGGTTTTTAAGAAGAAGTCGAAAATGTAAAGTTGACGACGACGGCGACAGACAATCAGTAATACTATAAGCTTCGCTCGACTTCGTTGACAGCAGAGCTAAAAACAAAACTTAAACCATGCACCAATATCTCATAATGTTCAATGTGCACCAAGTTTGAATGAAGTTCACAACCAAGATATAGTATGTGAATAATAGTGAAAAGTGATTTTGATGAATTTGTTACATTATTATGACTGTTGAATTGAATCACAAAACACATCAAGAATGACATAAGTGATTAAACTTGATGATTTTAGAACACTAAGATGGTTGTCATTTGGTCTTTGTGAAGGGGATATAGAAGTGTATAATAGCTCAGCTTTGCTAATTAATATACTTGACAGTGATCTTCAATGCATACCTTTTAATGTTACTCCCGAAACAGCATAACTTTTTTTCTTGCCAACTCGTATTCTGTAGTAATATCTTGTATTTGGTTTGAGATCTCCATCCTTAGCAGTCCCCTTAGCAGTATTAACTCTAGTACGTGGAACCATATCCCATTTAGTCTCATCTGCCATCCCACGATAAAGTTTAACTTTTGATGTACGTTGCTTCCATTCGATAGCCAATTCGGTTGGAGACACTGACTTGATGGCACAGATAGCAGGTGTATTGTGTGAGTGATCTGCAATATTAATGGTTTATTAAATGGATAGTTTTAGAATTAGGCAGAGGGTTCTTCGAACCCGCCTATTCACATAGTTCATACCCACCATAGACTCCGGTCAGTCAAAATGACTATTTTGAACTGTAGGCATTAATCAGCGATTCTGCCGATGACGAGGAAATAGAATCTAGGTCAGGGGAAGCCCCATGACCACAAGATTCCTTTCCCTTAGGTCACAAACCACGTGGCCGAGCCTATAAGGCTGCGCCATTACCGGCTGTACAATCACTCTAGGTATGAACTATGTGAATAGGCAGGTTCGGAGAACCCTCTGCCTAAATTCACATAGTTCATACCCACCATAGACTCCGGTCAGTCAAAATGACTATTTTGAACTGTAGGCAGAGTCAGACGCCGATACGTGGCGGGTTTTCCGAGCAAACAGAAAATGATGAAAGTCTTTTCCCAGTCCGGGATGAAACACTCTACAATAATCACTCAACACCCCAGTTAAGCCCCAAAAGGGGGGTGGTGTCTTATCTTCACTGTGCTGTCCCCGGAGCAAGAAGCCGAAGTACTGCTGCGGTGACAGGGTTCGATGTGCCCCGAGAAAGTTAGACCCCAACTCGATTTCTGGAGCAATAAGCTAGACAAAAGGACCGAAACAGTTTGTATGAGGGCGTAGGTCAAAAAAGCGAAACCTGGGAGCTTCCAGGAAGTGCTAGTGGTACAGGAAATCTGTCCGCAAGAATGCTGAGACTGACTTATGGCCTATGCGCAGGGGCCCCTGTGGTCGTTCGGGCTGGGTCGGTTATCAAAGCCTGACCCGCTACGACGGGCCTATCCTGAAGAGACCCTACTCAATAGATTGGGTGTCCCTTAGGTAGTAGTTGATGAAGACGTTCTGCGTTCTCCAGAAGCCTGCCCTCAGAATGTGTTTGAGGGGGGCACCTGACGCTAGCGCCAGTGAGTTAGCAATCGCACGGACCTCATGTGCTCGTACTTGGTAGTTTTGCAAGGACTGCGTAGAGGAGGATAATGTATTATAGTATTATAGTGCAGTTGCAGTGATCCACCTGACGATGGAAGTCGGGGAGGCCGGCCTATCTTGTTTGCCAGGGCCGTAACACAAAAACATGCGTTTGGTTCCCTCTCTCAAAAACCTTGTACAGTTCTCGTAGCAACTCAACGCTCAAACCAGGCAGAGAAGTAATTCCTCCTGATCCTCCGGACCGACAATATTTGACAGCCGGGGATGACGATCGGTTGTGGATCGTGTACTGGGATTTGGTTCTTGGCGAGAAATCTGATTCGTGTCTTTAGTACAACTTGATTGTCCATAAAGGCGACGCAACCGTCCGCGAAGGGTAGTTCGCCTAGCTCTGACCGGCGCCTACCTGAGGCGAGGGCCAGTAGGAAGACCATTTTCCACGTCAAAAACTTGAGTGGTGCTGAAAAGAGGGGTTTGAAAGGTGGTCTGCTTAGGGCTGCTAAAACAACCGACAGATCCCAATAGGGCGTTTCCCTTGTACGGAACCTCTGATTATGGAAAGCAGTAAACAGTCTCCTAATAATAGGACAATCGGCTAGACTTGACCCTGGTGCATTTTCTATGGTGGGGGACAAGGCTTACCTGTAGCCAACAATCGCTGCGTTTGACAAACCTACTTCGTCAAACAAGTGGACAAAGAAGTCTGCTACCTGGCCAATAGAGGGATGGCATGAATCGATCTCCCTTCCACTACACCAATTAGTGTATGCTCGCCATTTTGAGTTGTAGGCGGCGTTGGTGGAATCCCTGTTCGTCCTGGCCAGGACGTTGGCAGTCCGCTTAGATAGACCCTTCGCGAGTTTACTGAGAGCCTCCATGCGTGTAAGTGGTACACTGCTGGGCTTGTTGGTAGTGTGCCGTCCGGTTGGGACAGCAGATCCGGTATGTCCGGAAGCGCTACTGGTGTTTTAACTATCATTTCCAACAGAAGCTGAAACCAGGCCTTGGATGGCCAGTTCGGCGCCACCAGAGTTAGTATGCAGGTGGGCTCTTGTCGAAGTTTCTCCAGTACCCAGTGAATGAACAGGAAGGGAGGAAAGGCGTACACATCCATGTGGGACCACGGGATCGATAAGGCGCCCACGGCCCAGGCTCCAGGTGTCGGCAGGAGTGTTACATGTACGTACATCGGGAGCTTGGCGTTCCAGGGTGCGATAAACAGGTCTATCTTTGGACCGTCCCACAGCCGAAACAGCCTGGAGGCTACCCACTGGGGTATCTGCCACTCCGTGTTCTGGAGACGGAACCGCCTCGAAAGGATGTCTGCCAGATCGTTCTTCACCCCTGGAAGGTGGTGTGCAGTTAGCTCAACATTGTATTCCAAGCCGTGTGGTGGCCTACCATTACCTGTGTCGCCTGGTCTAGGAGGCGGGTGCATTCCGCCTCTGAGTTCTCAGGGTCCTGGGCGCGCACAAGAATGTGCTCCAGCGTGGCGCCCATGAATTCTTGGAAATTAATGGGTCGCAACTCTGCCCTCGGGGCGTGTTGGATAGACTCAGACTGGGTCGATGAGAATGACCATGGAACGCGGCTGTCCTCCTTTACCCGGTTAGCAAAACAGAAATTTGTGGTACCGGGGTCTGGGGAAGGAGCCTTTGGGTCCGGTCGGGGGCTCCTGGTTTCGTCCCACGAGTTGGGGTCCGAATCCGAAAATGCCCCGATATGGTAGCGTTTGGTCAAGCGAAAGGGGTTATGCAAAAGATTACCCCAGCCCGGGGCTTTTGGCATTACCTCCTCTGCGGCTGACCAACGACCGCCCCTCAACACCGTCTGCGTGCCGTCCGCCATGCTCAGCACCGCATTGCGGACTCTCAGGGGCCACCCGAGGTACCCACTGTATCCGATGCGAACGAACTGCCACCTCTCAGCTCTGGGAACGCCTGTGGATCGGCAAGAAGGGAGTCGAAACCCACGTCGGAACTCAGACTTGAAGGTAAATTGTTAAGTCCGGTACCGCGTGGCGAACCTTGGCTGGTTGGCGGGCGGGCGAGCGGGCAGGATGGGGTGGGTGGTTTGTACAGCGTATGTCCTCCACCATCGGGTCTCCTGCTCGACGTCCCGATACACGAAGCACCGGTAGCCGAGTATGAGGACTTTCCACTCATGCAAAACAAGCAACTCACTTTAACCGATTTTTTTACTGGACGCGCGACCTTGCTGTGAAGAGACGAGCGATTTTGATGGCTCTGAAAGAAAAATCTCAGGCCTCAGAACTCCAGTGAAAAATACACGTCTTCACGGCAAAAAACCCCGAACCCCGCACACAGCTACGACAAAAGTATTTCGGATGCGGGTTCTATGCTGGTGAATTCTGAATAACCAGTGCACAGTCGACTCAAAACACGAGGAGATCAACAAAAAACGTCAGCGAGCCCTGCTGCTGTCATTACAACTATTCATTTCTAAATAACTAGATCAAGTATAAAATGAAGACACATGCATGAGGGAAGCGAAAAACAATTGTAAAAGGTGCTGCCATGAAACCAACAAGTGGTGACGTAGCGGCGCCGGATTTGATTTCTTTGTTGTGGAAAAATACATTACACACAAAGGGGAAATGACACGAGGGTAAAAAGACAAGAAAAACTTATGCTACCACCTAGAATGTCGGATGCCGCGACTGCGGCAAAGACCCACGCTTGAAACCCAGACAGGAAAAAGTAAGAGAGCCAGGCAGAGCCACTCAGAATCATCCCTGACGTGGCGGAGAGAAATCAAGAGTGATTGTACAGCCGGTAATGGCGCAGCTACATGTATATAGGCTCGGTCACGTGGTTCGTGACGTAAGGGAAAGGAATCTTGGGGTTATGGGGCTTCCCCTGACCTAGATTCTATTTCTCCGTCATCGGCAGAATCGCTGATTAATGCCTAGAGTTCAAAATAGTAATTTTGACTGACCAAAGTCTATGGTGGGTAATTGAACGTAGCACTGTTTTCTTTTTGTCAACTTCCCCGCCATTCACAGGTTGTGCAAAATACATATAACTGATGAAAACATTTTGTCAAAAAGTGTCCGGATTGTAATTATAAGAAATTGCATGTTACAATAGATATATTTATGTATTTAATTATTAGTATAAAGTGATAACACTCAGAGGTAGCATTTATAGCTGAGAGTTATGTGCAGAACAAACCAGTGTCCAATGTTATGTAAGGTTTCAATTATCACTTCAGCAATTATCATCAACTAAACATAACTGTAATGTTAGATGTTAAAATTGCATTCCCACTCTGCAAATATGTGAAATATCACTCTCAGAACAAGTAAAAAAAATAAAATGAGTTAAAATTATCGAATAAAACCTCCTAACTAATTTTGTTGTTAATAAAAGAAACATACTTACTTGGGTCAGTTGAGTCAAACCAGAATGATAAGTCAGGAAATTTCTGTAGTTTCCCTTTATTGCATCGGTATTTGTTATTACAACAACATTCAACTTCTTTTGATGAACCAATAAGAACACATCCATCATCTTCTTTTATATTGGACAGATCATGTTCACCACAGGGACACTTTAAACTGTACTCATATGATAAACCAGGCCTGTATTTCTTGATGATTTCGTTCAAGTTACCGTCTACAAATTTTCTGATTTCTGGACCACAGCGTGACTGATTGGAAATTTCATCATCCTCATCATCATCCTCATCATCATCATCATCATCATCAAGGTCTTCAAATGTCACTGTCAGAGCTATGTCAGAATCTTCCTTCTTTAGAGTAATGATAGTTGAGGCATTCCAATAATACCGTGCTGCATGTTTGGATAATTCTGGTGGATATGACTGACATGGCTGTTTTGACTGACTTTGCAATACAGATATACACCTCACCACTAACTGATGGAAAACTGCACTGGGAAGAAAATTGTCTGGAAAGTGATAATGCAGAGGAGGACTTGTTGTTGTGTTGGGTTTATCTTGAATAGTAGATGCGTTGCTGGTCAGCATACATGGCATTATAAATTCTTGCTTGCCTGGTTGTGCTGGTTGTGATTGGTTTACTTCACAAATAATATCAAACTTCTTGAATAATTCAATCAAGATATTCTTATCTTCTTGTCTTTTGTTTGTTTCAAACACACAATCTAAAAGCTCTTCTTTCAGCTTGCCATGTTCTTGTAAGGGTTTAAGGAAGCATGTTTGTCCTGCACGACGAAATTTATCCAATGCGCAGGTAATAACGATCCTGAACAACTCTGCAAACCACTCTGGTTTAATACCAACTTCCTCTTCCAGACCAATCATCTCCCCAATCCTGTAGTAAAACTCCAGCGCCTTGTTACAGTCCTCTTCATTCATGCTCATCTCATGTGCTAGCTTACGAGCCTCTTTGATTGTCTTAATAGGCCTCTTTGTATCAGCAACTGTGGCTTTCAGTTGAAGTTCGAACTCCAACCACTTGCATTTAACTTCATACTTGAACCAATCCGACGTTAAAATATCCTCAAGTTTATCTTTAAGCAATGACATAGTACCACTTTCCTCATCACCACCATCTATGGAATAAACCACTTCCGGGACTTTATTGTTGATAGCATAAAGAGCTGCGATTTTCACGGCTAATTTCTGGCTAAGTACGTCTGACAGAAATGTATTAATTTCATGTAGACGTGTTATAGCCTCCTTCTGTATAAATATAAATGAACAATGACCAGCAATGAGCTATGGCTACAGCCTTGGCCCTATACTGCATGAAAGGTGACAGTGAGCATAGGTGCACTACAAACATCAAAAGCACATCTTGGGGAACACCATAGTCAAACTTGAACCAAATTTTGTGGCATGGAGTGGCAGATAGATCTCTTATTGAATTGCCATGAAAGTCTTCAATATTTGACCCAGAATCATTCATCTAATTGCCACATCGCTGAACTTTCAAAAAAATTGCCATGTGACAGACGGCACTGACATTGGAAGCGCTGGAACAACATTGATGCAAATGCATTCTTGTTGTTTACTGATATATTAGTGAAACTCAAGACATTGACCCTGTCAAACAATACACAAATGGTACTGATAGCTCCTCTGGTCATAAATAATAGACCAGCCAATACTACTCAACATCTCGCAATAAATAAAACAAACAAATTTTAGTGTTTCACTTTTTTATTTGAAAATTACAACTTTTTAGTTAGCCTTCCAAGCACTTTAAAAACTTTAAAATGTGGGTTATTCCCCTAAGAAAATATAGTACATGGTGATTTTCCAGTTGAATAGTAGATATTCTTGCAGCAGAATCTTGGTATTGTTGTCGCTGTGCTGGTGCTGATTCCCCTGCAAACATTTGGTTAATGATAACATTGTTGAGGGAGTCTGCTCCCAGTACTTCTCAGTACTTTGAGGAATCTCCATATATTTGGGTGGTATGCTTTGATGTTTGCCTGTATTCTACGATCCCACCCTTTCAACATTTGTTGTTGGTGCACGGTAGTTGATTATTACCTCTATTGTTAATATTCCACATGCTAACCGGAAAGCGTGGTGGTCTTCTTCCATTACAACGTGGTCTGCCAATATATGCATTTTTAAAGTAGTCTACTATTGTCTACTATTGGCTTTGCCTGGCATACTCTGTCCTAGTTTGTTAAAGGGTGTTGATTGTCATACTGAAAAGTACAAGATACATGCCTTGAAGACCCTCTGATATTCCTTTGTGATATATGCTATGGGAAAGTGATAAAAACATCCCTTAACCAAAATGTTCATGAATACATCTTCCAAGGCATTATTCATGACTTGCTCGTAGTTGATGAAAACTGACTGTGGGGTCAGATTAGGGTTGATATTAAGCAGTTGCTGGAATACATCTTCAGAGGTAGTTTAATTGTCGCTTGATGGGAAATAGGGCATATACACATGGGATGACTCTGCCAGCAGTGAGCGAATGAATGGTGTACAGCTGAAAGAACAATTCAGGAACTACCTTGGAAGCAAACCAGTTGTTGGAATTCTCATATTTTGGGCTGTTGAAAAAAGATGAGCAGGCACTTATCACTGGGTTGATTGTCATACTGAAGGAAAACTTCGCCATCATTTGTATACTGAAATAAATAAAGTGATTATTGAACATGTTATCGTTCCTTTTTTGTTGCTCTAATATTCTCCCAGTTCTGCATGTCCTTCAAAACAGTTAAGAAAACATTAATAAAAATTAAATGAAAGTGATCATAATAGATAAGATATGCATACTCATAATAATTTGGTAATACATGTAATTTTAAATAGACAACATAATTTACCTTATACTCCTCTAGAATGATCAATTCTGCAAGCTTTGCCGAGACAGGATGCGAAACACCAACAGATTGTTTGTATCGTCCAATACATCAATGAATATGTCAAATAGGGGGAGGCTGTGCGACAACACCTTTAGATATAGACTGTACAGCTTGTGAAATGATTTGTTGAGCAGTCTCTTCTATTTTAGGGGTTTACTTTTCAATTCCCTTGGCGGTTAATATCGGCCAAATACATGTGCTTATTTACAGCACCAATGACTTGGTCTCTATGGACCTTAACCTTCACTTTGCAATTGTATTGTCACTGGTTCTCGCAGTCCCAGATATGACCTGGTTAGCAAGATTGAGTTTTCTGCTTGACATAGATATAACCTTTAGTGAATTGATTTTCCTAATAGGTCACTGGTTGTGAACAAACTCCATAGTGACTGGACAGATAACACAGAACACGCTGACCATGTTGGTAACTAGCAAGTCTACGGTATGTACATGCACGATCGTGATTTTTATTTTTTTTGCTTTTACTAACTAAAACAAGTATGCTAGAGAGTCTGCAGACTAGATGGCCAATAAAAATGGAGGTATGTTCAGGTGCCTCAAAAGCGTATCTGCGGTTTAGTTTTGTGGGCACACAGTAGCCACAACATTAATGTGTGCATGTTGATCTGCGTGTACGTTCTGAAGGTACGCAGATACCACACAAGACAAGCCTGTGTGTAATAGCGATTCTTTTGTTTTATTACTATAAACAAGCCATTCTTGGCACAGTTCCCATAAGTTATCAAATCTAAAGTAATATACTGTAGAATACTTTATTTTAGCTGGAATTAATTTTTGCTGAAAAGACTTTTTGGGAGTTTTGTATGTATTTTCACTGATTTTTGGTAAGTTGAATGTAAAATATGGGAAAAAAGGTACATGTATATCCCCTGGATTTTATTTTCATTGAATCATTTATTCAGCGAAAATAAAGTATTTTACAGTAGTACAAGTAGTTGTTCATTTCAAAAAATATTACTCTGGAACAGCATTAATTAAAACAAAATGGCCAACGGTTGGCCATTTTAAATCGGATAGTCAAACCAATACATCTGTATATCAATGACATGATGTATAATAACAGGGTTCATAGCACCAACAGCCAAATGATTTGCCAGACCTTTTCCCAAACTTTTTTGCTTATTTCCCCCCAAGACATTTTGACCCTTAATTTCAGGCCAACCTCATCACTGAAGCTCATCAAAGTTCAGAAGATAAGACAGTTCCCAGGGGCTTTTCTAAAATGAATTAATAACTATGAAGAAATGTAAAGACTTTACAAAGATTTTTTGATTTTTTCTGTAATTTAAGGACAACTCAAAGACTTTCCAGACTTCAAAAAATCTAAAGACTTTCAAAGGATTTTCCCAACACTATGGACCCTGAATGAATATGCCAATCTTTCACAGAAAATACGATCCGTTGGGGGTAATATTAAGCCAATCGATAACAAAAATCAGCCGAATTTGTCATTTTTGTGTGGAAAAATCTCTCAAATACGAACACCTAATTACACGAAGAACATAGAACACTTTCCCCGGGTATTTGAAACTGAAATTGTCATTTAACTGTAAGGGCGTCACTGATTGGCTGCTGAGCTGGAATGACAATTTTTGGTTTCAAATACCCCAGGAAAGTGAACAGAAGATATCATTAGAAAATGAACAATATGTATAGTATCAAAGCAAGCAAGTTTTCAAAAATATCACTTTTCACCAAAAATTACAAAAATATTCATCAAAATTAGATAATTGAAGTTATCACCACGAAATTAA